CTTCAGCCATGTTTTTAAATGCGAGAGCAAACGGGTTCTCCTCAGCAAAGATCATTACCAGGTTGTCGCATTCTAAAATTTATTGCTGCTAGTGGATCATAGATATATAGTTGACAATATGTTGGAGAAATATCTTGATCTGGCCTAAGATTACCAACACGATGAAAAACCTGACCACATATTCTAAAACATGGTGGCCCATGATTCATGGGTTGAACTACATTAGCAGTAAATGAAGCAAAAGAAAGACAGGCATTATAATTTCGAATATATTTTAGAAAATTCACATTGGCATATCGATCTACATAACTTCCTGTAAATAAATCTTGTAAATCTTGCGGAAGTGGTGAAAGTTGAGACAAAACTATCTTTCCATTATGGCAACATAAAAAATGTGTTTCATCAGGAAATTTCTTAGCACCACAATACTGACAAGTATGATTCATTTCTCCTAAATAATTTTAATCTGGAATAGTATTACTTCTTGCTATACAATGCATTCTTTTATGTCTACCAGCATATCTAGCATTTTATTGATTATTAATTTCATCTTGCCTCAGCCTATTGCTTGATTGGGTTACTGGGATTTTCGATAGGACCAATTCCCAAAGATATTCACTTTTATCTTGATGAATTGCTTACTTGATTTCCTGAATACTTTGCCAAAAATTCTTGGATATGCATATTAATATCCAATTTAGAGGAAAAGGCAGACATTGTGTCCACGCACAAATCCGGAACAGTTTGATGCCGGAAGAGATTTCAAAAATTGTTCTACCGCCATTGTAAGTTATGTTTCCAACTTAACTAAAACTTTTCTAATTCTGACTTAATTTTGAAAAGTTTAATTCCTTCTTATTTTAATTCTGACTTTTTCTAAACAGTTGTCAAAGAAGACGTGCTCTACTCAAAGGTGGATAAAAATGGAGCAGAAACAAAGATTGTACACTTTTCGAACTTTAATGAGAATGATTTTGGTGTCATCAAACAAATTACTTCTGTCCATCCATTAAATAAATTTTACCAAATGGGAGAGGAGGAAAACAAACCAAATGCAAAATAACGCACCATATGAATTGGTTGATTTTTTGGGACTTTAACATCTACAAAATTACCCAAACAATGTTGTACTTGTCAACAGTTCAATTGGCAAGCCAAAAGTCTGCATTGTTCTCGACATGCAATATGATGGTGTAGAAGACAAATTCAAAGTGACAATTGCTCCTTTCAAAAAACAAGGACATTTCTTTGAAGGATATCATTAGATATCCTTCAAAGATTCACGTGCAGTTCATTAGATTTCAATATTTTTTTAGTTTCTGGAGATATAAATCATGACAGAAAACGCAAAGTTGGTGCATACTGCATAGAAATTCAGTTCGTCTGCCTCTTAAATGAGAAAGAAGTTGCTGACATTGATACTAATGCAAAAGAATAAGGTTGATTTAACAAAAAAATTGCACAGTGCACACCTTTCTTCCATGCTATGACTAGTTAGTAAATCTATTTTTCCATGTATATATGTATTCATTTCCGGTATAAAGTATATATTTTTGATATCAAAAATTGTTCAGTATTTATTTTAAATAATTAACAAATGACAGTCGTATATATTTCTAGGAATATAAAGAATAATAAGATAAAAACATTTATGTATCGAAATTAAGGCAACATAATTCTTACTTATTTGGACTTGAATCAATCTAATTAACTCAAAATTAGTGTAAAACATCTTTTTAACTTCTAATTCCCACTTATCAGCCAAAAATGTCCAAAAATTGTCAAAAAACGCTTTAATTCCGACTTAAAATGGAGTTTTTCCCACTTTTCTAAGTATAATTCCAAGTTGCGTTCTATTAGGGTTAAAACTTAGAAAAAATTATATTTGTGAAATAAAATTTTTTTTACCTTATTGGTAATTTTGTCTTTGAAAAATTAATTGCCAAATAAAATTAATTTTTTTTTCTACCTGGGTATTAAATGAACCATAATTGAATAAGGATTTTTAAAATGATATTTGTTTTTTAAAGAAATAAAAATTTTAGATTTTATCAAAGGAAAAGTATCATTTTTTAAGAAGATGGGTTTCCTAAATTTTTGTTTTTAAAAAAACTCTAAAGTCTTAGTTTTTTTAAAAACAAATATTTTTTTTAAGTCCATATTTGGTTATGCTATTATTTTGATACCCAGGTTGAACTACATAGAATAAAGCAATTTTTAATAATATTAGTAGGAAGTTTACTTTTCCAAGGCAAAGTTATTAAGCTTATAAGATATATTTTTTTCAAAATTATTATTATTTCTAACTTTTAAATACTTTTTCTCAAAAATAAAAAATTACTTTTTTTACAATTTCAATAAAAAAAAGAAAAACTGACACACCCTATTGTTGCATCCTTGTTTTGTGAGATTTTAAATGTTTAAATACTGCAGAACAAAAGACAGTGTAGTAAAATATATGTAGACACCACACAACAAGACAAGTAACTTGATTATGCAACCTTTTCAGTTAATTACAAGGTCAATCAAAAAATATTAACAAGGATCAAAAATAAATGACAAAATCACCATGATCACCTTGCTACTAACATGTAATTCAATGCAATCTGCCTCATGTTCTGCTGCCTTGTAAGATTCAGTCAAAGGCAAAGGCTAGAAGAAATTAACTGTGACTTAAAATAACCCCTATCTTGTGCCTTCCTTATATTGGCTGTTTCAAGTAAGCATTACAGCTTCCTGATATATTTTTTAAATATTCACTAAAAGGGTATTATTAATATTTTTATAAGTTTTGAAATACTAGAGGTAATTTGTTTTGTTAAAAGAATATAAACACCAATAAAATGTTTTATCTTATGACATTTAGTGAAATAAGTAAAACCTTCCTTGATTTTTTATAAATGCAGTAAATAATGAACTTGGTTGGATTTTAACACTTTATTATTACTTTTTATCTAAAAAAAAGTATATTTCAGGTTTTTTCTATCAATTATAAAGATTTTTAGACCATTATAAAACAAAAATTGCTTAAACTTAATGTTAACTGAGAGATTGTTTAAGTCAGAAAAGCAAATTGCAATTTTTGCAAATTTCAATGTCGAATTAAAAAAAGATATAAATATTGCTCTGTTCTTGAAAGATTTTAAAATAAATGTATCAAGCAATAAAGCATGCTTCATTCTTTTAAAGAATTTTTTTCTGTGCATACAATTCTAATAAGGTGTATGAATCTTAATAAATAAAAAAACTCTTGAAAAAGTTGTTAAGTTACCAAAATAGAGCATAGATTTTTGAACTATCCTCACTTTTGGTATAAGAGTAATTTTATGGTATTTAAATCAATAATCAAAAACAAGCTTTTTATTTTTAAGTAAACATATAGGTAATTTAAATCATTTGTTAATTCGTTTATTGTTAATAAAGATACTATTCTAAAAATCAGTTTAATGGTTCCAAGGCCAGCTGGTAGTAAGATTTCCCAAACTCTGCAATCAACCCAAAAAACAATGGTTTCAAAGTATCCAAGTATTGCCAGTGCTGTCTGGATCATTTAAAGTTTCCCTGTTAGTTCCTATGGTGTAAAATTAAAAACTCTTGACCTTCAAATATCAAGTCTTTTTACTATTTTAAGTCTGCAAGTGTTTAATTAACAAAGTTTTAATATCCCATCTTTGTCATTGTATGGAATACTGGTATCATATTTGGTCTAGTTCTTCTAATGAGTCCCTCTTTTTTTAGACAGGGTTCAAAAACACATGGTATATATTGCAAGAGCTGGTCTAGCTGCCAAGCTTGAATTGGTCCAATATTGCTTCATTTTTATTTTTCTACAAATTCTGCTATGATTACTGCCCGAGTATGCTGCCATCTCTTGTTCCATCTACAAGTGTGCTGTCATCTCTTGTTCCATCAACTAAATCTTGTGTGACTTTTTGGAATTTTTTTTATTTTAACTGTTCTTTCATGCTCAATATACTTTTGTTTGTCTAATTTTTTTTTCAGACATTATTGCTTTGTAATTTTTTCTGGCTCATACAGTATCCAATTTATTTCTGATTCACTCAATTAACAAGTTTTCTTTATTGTTCTGAAACTCTCCTCTTTACTTTGTTTTAACTTCCAACTTAGTATTTGCTTGCAGTCTTTTATGATTTTTTTAAACTTCTAACTTATTCAGTGGTTGCTTTAATTGTCAGAATTTGTTTAAAAAATAGGACGAAAAAGAGATAAAGCATGTTAGCACAAAGTGCAAGAGCTCTTTGTATTAATTTTTATATTATTATCTTTGATTTTTTTTAAAATAATATTATTGAGCTTTATTCAGAATAAATTGCAGAATAAAAGTGAAAAATTCAATTATTTTTTTTCCAAATAAAGATACCAGGTATATAGGAAGAAAGCGTATATATGTTAAACTTTTAAAATTAATCAAATCGAAAATAAAATTTTAAATTGTTATCTCATTTAAAAAAAAAACAATATTGTTAAAGCGTAAATGAACTTTAGGTTTTTTAATGTTGTTAATTTTTTTTTTTTGTTGCGTTTCTCAGTGTTCTTAATACATAACTTCGTGTTCTTAGTTGATCAAACAAAATAAAACAACTTTAATTCTACTTGATTTAGGTTTTGGTTAGTGCTTGTTCCCATTGCATATGTAGCATTTATGTTGTTACTTTATTAAATGATTAATAAACAAATATATTGAACTTTTAAAAGTCCATCCCTATAGAGCAAATTAATTTAATTGCAAGTGCAATGGATCTTGTTCCACTTTTTGGATCTTTTTTTTTTGATTTTTTTTTCTTATCACAAAGGTTGTTTTGAAGCTGAATTTTAGCTAAATAAAAATTATTTCAAGAACTTTTTCTTTGTTCTGTAAAATGGGTTGATATTTAAATTTATCTTTAAATTTTTTGAAATCTTTTGAAAACTTTTTTTCATTTCTTTTTGCAGTTTAATTAAGATTTGATAAAGATTAAAAATTTTAATCCTTGTTTTAGCCCTCTAATATCTTCATCAACCACCGAAGTTGAAATATCACAGGTTGTGGTATCCACTTCTGTTTTATCTAATCAGCATGTGAAAACTGCAACTCCAATATCCATTAGATTTTTCGATAAGGTATTATATTACTGTAAAAAGTGGCTTTTGCTTTAATTACAATTAACTATATAACCTATTATTTCATATATTTTATTAATCTTAATCTATTATTTTATAAAAATAAAAAATAAACTGTGCATAAGCAGAGAAAATTTAAAATAAAGTAAATAAAGTTGCTTTTTTGGGCAAGCAACCATTTTTTGCACAGTCTTATTGCAAAAATGACTGCTTGCCCAAAATGCTTGTTTGCAAACCATTTGTTTCAAAAAAATTGTTTGTTTATGTTTATTTATTATAACAATTGTAATTTTATTGTTATACAAGTTATTGAATAGAAGTTATTGAATGGAAGTTATTGAATGGAAATTATTGAATAGAAGTTATTGAATGGAAGTTATTGAATAGAACTTATTGAAAAGAAGTTATTGAATGGAAGTTATTGAACAGAAGTTATTGAATAGAAGTTATTGAATGGAAGTTATTGAATGGAAGTAATTGAATGAAAGTAATTGAATAGAAGTTATTGAACAGAAGTTATTGAATGGAAGTTATTGAACAGAAGTTATTGAAGGAAGTTTTTGAACAGAAGTTATTGAATAGAAGTTATTGAATGGAAGTTATTGAATGGAAGTAATTGAATAGAAGTTATTGAACAGAAGTTATTGAATGGAAGTTATTGAACAAAAGTTATTGAATAGAATTTATTGAATGGAAAAATACAACAAGAATACAAGTAATTGAATAGAATGTTATACAATTATTAACAAAAAAATATTAAATAGTTACAAATTTATTGTTACAATTGAGTTAAATAAACAAAGAGAATCATTGAGACAGCATATTACTTTTAAAATGAGACATCATATTGTTTTTAAAATGACAATGATTTTGATACGTAATCAAGTAATCAGATTCTAGTATCATATAGTTTGTTATTACATAAACTATATTAGCATCTAAAACATATTATTTACCACCTGTACTATCATTTGTTTTGCATGTTAAATATAGTTTATGAGATGATTTGGTAAAGTTTTTACTGTTTCAAGAAAAATGTTTTAATTTGTTATTATATTATAACATAGGAGGTTTAACACATCATAATTATAATTAAACAACAAGACCTTTTTCACTTTTTTTGAGTACTGTTAGGCATTAGTTTGGATGTCTCTTTTGAGTGCTGTTGGGCGATAGTTCAGGTGTCTATCCTGATTTTAATGTAACCTTTTATATATCGCAGGCAGAATTTTCCTTTAAAGTTTAAATTTTTTTTAGTTTTTTCAAACAACTTTGTATTCAAAATCAAGTTTTGTCTAAAGGATCTTTAATCAAGGATCTATAACACATTCTAGATTTTTTTGCTTAATTTTTCAATTTCTATTGACTTGGATCAACCACCTCATGTTTTTAATACATTTCATTGCATGTATAAAAATTGTGTCATGTGTGTCATTCAGTTTTTCGAAAACCTTTTTCTTTTTTTAATATTTATGTTATCTTTGTTGTTACCTGTTCATTGTCCTTTTTTAATATACTGCAATATTTTGCATTTAAAACATTTAGATACATCAACATCAGTTTATTCACTTATGTATAAAACTACATGACTTATCAATGTTATTTTATCTCGGGTTGAGCAAAGAGCATCTTTTAAGTTTAACATTGGGTTTTGTATAATAGATTTTTTTAAAAAAATTCACTTTTAAAAAGCCTGCAAACAACCACTAATTAAGTTTGGGTGGTAAAAGACAATAAAGGAGTGAATAAGTGGTTTATTGAGATGGAGAATGGAATCAGGAGAAAGAGGCACACAAGATAAAGAGACGCAACTTTAGCAGATGTTAATTTTGCAATTAATTCTATATATATTTTCCACGAAAGGTTAGGAATGAAAGATAATTTAAAAGTAGAGGACTCAAAGTGTTATCATTCATCAATATAGGAGTATCAACAGGATTGCAATAATTATGAGCAGTTGCTTACTGACTTTAGGTTTAAAGTTTACCAACCACTGCAAGCCCCCCAAAAAGAGTTCTTTATGTGGCCCCTGTCACAGATAATTCCACACACCTATTTTCATTAGTAAAATTTGACACTTTTATTACCATCAAATGTCACATAAGCTAGTTATACAAAAAAATATTGTCAGTAGTGCACCAAGTATTACAGACATTGAACAAAACCTTTTTGATTTATTTTGTTTTCATTGTGAAGATTACCAAAAACAAAGAATATATAATTTTTTTTTTTTTGATTTAATAATTTTCATTGTTTGATTTTTATAAAAATGTTGAAATTTTTGCATGTAAACCTGAACTATTGTTTTCATTACTTGAATCAAATCAATCTTCTTTTCATCAGAAAATTGATTTGATTATCAAATCTATTGTTTTCATTACTTGAATCAAAATATTTAGCATTAGGCAAAATGCTTGTAAAAGATGTTGTAATTTGATTTGAATATATGCAATAACACATTTATTTGGTGGATATTTTGGTCTTTGAAATAAATTTATAAGATAAGGGGAAATGGGGATTTATCAACAATAAATAGTGACAACTCTTAAGCAAGACATATATTGGTTCGAAATCTGTTATTAAATTTTTATCAAGGTTCTTAAGAATTTTATTCTGAAGGTGGCCTGGGGGTGTTTTATGGTGGGTTGGTGGGGGTTTAAGCTTAAAAAATAATAATCTTTTTGTAAACCATCCTTATTTGACTTCTTTTATTAAGAATCTATTATTGAATTAAGCAGCATCTTCATACCTGAGTATGCTTCTTTCCAAAAGCTCTTTAAAGTCTTTAAAGCCTGAGCTGCTTTTTTTAAAAGCTCTCTAAAGTCTTTAAAACATAATAAAATTATTTTTTTCTATTCCAAAATAAAATCATAGTGAACAAAATTTTAATTATAGAGAATAAAAGTCAAATAAAATTTTAAAACTTTTTTATTAGAAATTATTTCAAATTTATTAAAAATGATAATAATTTATTAATATCAGTTAATAAAATTACAAACACATTGGATCATATGCATTGTTATTTGGGGTCATTCATTGTTGTTTGGGGTCATTCTCTTTATTAGTGAAAAGTAATGATGCCTGAGAGGAAACTAATTTGTATGTAACAAACATGGTTACAAAAGGTTAGACCTAGGTTAAATTTTTACTTAGAAAAAATTTAATTATTGTTTATCTTCCAGTGTTAGTATCTGTAATGTCTTATACTCAAATATACTGTAAATCCAAAAAATATACTGTAAATACTGTAATACTGTAAATCAAACTTTTTACAGAAAACCAAACTTTAGGTATTGTTAGTGCAGATTTTTTTACGAGTTCAAGGATATGAAGTAAAGGATAAGTCAAGTCAAAGATATGAAGCGCCCTGGTTCACTAATGATAGTATAGAAGTCAGTTTTTAATTTTTTAAGAAATTTCAAAAATATAATTAGTAAGAATCTGATGAGCACAATAAAAGGCAACCTTGAGAGACTACCTTACCTTGAGAGACTACCTTATTAAATCTTAACAGATAATAACTTTATTAAGGATTGTATATATGGTCTGAGGTTATGTAAGGTAGACAGCTCAATAAGAGTGTTCTATTTATCAATATAAGAATATCTATAATGATGCAATAGTTATTAGAAGTAAAATTTTATAATTATATATTGGAAGTAAAAAAAGTTAAAAGTGATTAGTAAATAACTATTTATATATTTTATAATATTGCAATAGATATATACTAATAAGTTTTGTTTTGATTAAATTTCACCACCCACTGCAAGGTCCAAGCTGTCTTAGAAAAGAGACAAGGTTCAAAGTTAGCTGTTTGTTCTAAATGATCAAAAGTGATGACTTTTTGTCAAGACTGGAGTATATAGTGTTATCAGCCAATAGCCTTTAGGGATAAGATTATCAGGAAAATTTTTATCATGAGGATCAACACAAGACCATTGATGGAACCATTTCATGTTTTGTACTTCTGCTACCTCAGAAGTACAAAACATGAAATAATGGAGATTGTTTTCCATCAAGGACAACTTTAATAATGCTGTTAGAAAAAAATAGTTCAATAATTTTAAAAACTTTCTCAGATAAACCATTTAGAATGACCTGAGTAGCAAGTTAAACTAAAAAGAAAAAGTTTACCAAAAGAATTTAAGTTAATGCTGTATAGAGTTTTTAAAAAAGTATAAAAGAAATAAAATCCACCATTTTGGGTTCTTTTTTTAAACAGTTTTGAAAATACAACCCCCAAAAAAATTACATTTTGCAAACAAATAACTTTAAGTTTTTCTTATATGAACAGTTTTTCTTATATGAACAGTTTCTAGCATTATAATATTTTCCTCTCTTTTTCAATCAAAAAGAGTTTATTTTTTATTTTTTTGAAAAAATGTTTTATTTGCAAAAACGATAATTCGCTTGTAAAATATAAGGGAACTGAAACTATAGATTCCTATCAAAACTATAGGTTTTTACCAAAGTTTGGATATGTTATATTAATTAACAATATAAGTTTACATAAGTCATTCCATATACTTAGGGGTACCAAGACCCTTCATGCCACTTAAAACAGTAACCCTAATTAGCATCTCTTTTACCCACTCCCCACCCCTCCTTTCTCCTCCTCTCAGCATCTTTGCATATACTTGAAAATACATTTAAAACCATGATGTGTTTCAGGTATATCATAAAATAATTATAAATTACAATAGTTGCAAAATATGAATTTTAAACTTTTTGCAAAATAATTAATTTCCTTGTTATAATATGATGAACTTTTGCTCAAAAGTAATGAAAATGGGTTTTGTTTTAATTAATTTTTAAAAAAGATCACCCACAAAATGAAATTTTTAATACGGTACACAAGTAGCATTATGACTTTCTGATGCCTAGAAATTTCTTGAACCTTATGGAACTTTCTAGAATTTTCTAGACTGTTTTGGATGTTTTTAGAAATCTCTGAAACTTTCTAGAATTTTCTGAAGTCTTCCAGAAGATTATGGATATTATATTTAGACTATATAAGGTGCCTGATTGAGTAAGGCTAATAATTATATATGAATCTGTATTCCCCAGATAGCAGTCAAATAATATAGAAGCACAATAGCCCTTATGTTTATTAAAGATTGTATCATCTTCAGATTGAAAGAGTATAAACATGATTGTAGCCAACACCACTAATGTAAACACGAGAAGAAGGAATTTTTACTGAAAAGAAACTGGAAGAACAGTTTATTGGATGTCAATTTCATGTTCTTGACCGAGTTCTTTGTGTAGAAATAGATAAAGAACTTGGAGGAAACAACATATTGCCCAATTTTGGATATTCGTTTATCTCAGTACTTGTAAAGAACTAAGAACAGCTCAAGAAAATTTTCAAGAATGGTAAAGAAATGATTACTGAAACAACAGAATCGCATGATGATTTGAAATTTCTATTTCATTTAACTCTTTTTTGAAGAATCTGGAAAGTGAAGTTTCAGAAAATACCTAAATTAAATAATGCAAGATGAAATTTCTTAGCTACACTAGCTCTTTTGGTATTTCTTCCTATGCTAGAAAGAAGAGGCTACTCAACCTTTATAGATTCATCTCTTAAGAGCCGTTTTTTCTAAGAATCAGTCAAATTCCTGAAACTGTGGAAGTGACCTCGTCCAAATTGCTTGAATTTTTTATATATTGTTCAGAATATAGAGAAAACCTGTTGGGGAAAAAAAAAATTCAAAAATGTTTCATTCACTCGGAATCTGGGCTTAAATTTTTGAGATTTTTTTTTTAATTTTTAGAAATTTAGTTTTTGCCACCTTTGAACCCATTTTTTTGGCAAGGCAAAAAGTTGCACATAGCTTTTGTAGTTAATATCAGATGTAACCCAAAAGCTCTCTCCAAAAAATATAAAAAAGTTGCGTGACATTGTGCGGTTGGCTAATTATCATAGTTCAAAAGTACAAAATCAATCAGTTTTGTCAATTTTTAATCGGAGTTAATTCTAGCGGCGAAGTGTTGCACACAATTTTTCTTTTAGGATTTGAAATTATCAAAGGTATTGAGTCTAAAAATGCAAAGAAAGTTATGTGATACCTAAGGCCTATTAATATATTAAGGCTTGAAATTGGAAAAAAATGTTTTAGTATACTTACAAAATGAACCATTACGGCAGAGGCGCTTAGTTTTGTAAAAATGTAAACATGTCCAACTGTCAATACAAAAAGGTCCTAACATAATAATAAAAAAAATTCGTGTAATTTTGTCACACGCATGATATAACATGAATTAAAAACTGAACAAAAATCTAACATCAAGATAACTATATTGCTAATTAAATAAAACATAAATCAAACATTTAAATGTTTTTCCATTTAAAAATTAGTTTTTCATTTATTAATAGAGTCATTTACACACATTATCCACCATATCACACATAATTTCTACTCTGCTGCAGTAAGTTTCTCTAAGAATAATGATATGACTGTATTATAGTCTTCTTCGGATAATGAATAATCGCCACAACCACTGATTAGAAAAGGAGCATTTACTAAACAGATAATTTTATCAGTTTGGTTATTTATCTCCTCGGTAGTAACTGGCCAGCGAAAAGTATTCTTCTCTTGCCCGTTAATCATACAATTAACTCTGATCCCAGTTATAGATACCTAAAAGTATTAGCGCAACATTTAAAATAATATAATAAAGAGTTTATGATTTGTTTAATTTTGCTTACATTCAATAAAACTTGTAAAGTCTTATATAATGTCATTCTGAAATTATTTTTACATTTTGTTTATATTCCTTTTATTTTAGAGCACTGTTTTGTAAAACAAAATAAAAACTTGAAACTAATATATACTTTGAATAATATTACCTCCACAATATATCCAATATTCTATTGTTTTTCATATGCAACAGCAACCCAATCATTCACTTTCCATACAAGACAAATTTCTTTTGCAAGATTGGCGATGTCTTCCTCATATTTATTATCATCTTCATTGTCTCCTGTCAGATTAAAGTCATCATTTTCGCCATAAACTTCTTTGTTATTGTTAACCTGACTATTTTCATTATTTTCTGTTGTCGGTTCTACCAGCTTACCTTTTCTTTTCAGGTTACTAAATCTATAACAATATCAATTGTACATATTTTTAAACATATGTAAACAAACACACAAAATTATAACTTTCACCTAAATTTTAATTTCATATTTGTAAAAGAACTATTTAACAGTCAGAAACATAATCTAATTTGCAAAAGTTTTGATAGCAACAATGCCTACCTTGAAAATAAAGATCTTATCTGTTGGCTAGTTACATATTGATCAGGCGGAAGTTCTCTCCTCAGCTGCATGTGAACCTGCTCAGGGCTTATTTTATTACCTGATTCTTCTCCACGAATAAAGTATTTATACAACAGTTCTTTCTGCTGATTTGAAAATCTAAAAGAACTTCGAACTGGTAATGCCAAACCTTGCAATAGAAAAATGTTCATGCAATGTGGTTTGTCTTTTACGGAAGCACTGTTAGAGGATGAAGAAATTGGCATATTTAGTTGTGAAGTAATTTTCATCTTATGAACAAACGAGTTGCGAACTTTATCCAATGATGTTAATGATTTCGGAACTGTATGAAGACCGGATAGCATGTGTTCTTCTAACTCAGCATCGCTTTCAAATGATAAAGTACAATTCATTTCAGTGCAAAATCTTAATGAATATAATTGCCTGTCACTTCTTTTCTGTTTTTCCTTAAGTGACTTGTTATGCTTAATTGAATTATCTGTTTTGCTATATGGCAACAACAACTTAATCCAGGGTTGAATTTTAAGATTTCCATACTCTTGTTCAATTCCCTCACCAATATTGAAATAACGTCACATCTTCATACTTTTCTCACCAAACTCAAATGAGTGATAGTTGCTAATGTTCTTAATCTTTGGTCCAGTAACTACAGTTTTATCATTGCTAATTTGAGCAACTGCTACTTTTGCATCTTTAGCGCCAAAACTATAATGCATAGCCTTGTGTATATCTTCAGCAGTCAAAAGATTATTACCAGAGTCAACGTAACTCCTTAAAATTGTCTTTACAACTGCACTCTCCCTGTCACATTGATCTTTTCCACAACAGGGTTCATTATAATCATATCTCAGCAACTTTATATCTCTCTCTTTGCATACATTGTAGATTGCTTCAGCTGAAAGATTTCCCTGATAGCAGCTGGCATTATCAGATTTGGTAAACGAAACAACATCACCTATTCCCTGATCACACCTATACATTGAAGTAAAGTAAACACGTTTGAATAACTTTCCTGCTATTTTTATGAAGAATATATCCACATGTAAACTCATTCCTTTCTTGCCAAAATACTCTCTTTGGCCCTCTCTGTATCAAACCAGAAGAATTTTTTGACAAAAATCTTTAAGCCAGAAAGCAGTTTCATTGTTTGATTGCTTAAAAGCTTCGATTTTTGCCTTTTTCTGTTGAGAATCTCTCATCAGGTGTTTTATGTAGTTGAATACATCCTTTACAGCAATTTCCAAATCATAAATAGAATCAGCATCGTCAGAATTTTGAATTGTTAGTTCTTTGATCATCTCGATAGCTTTGCACAAATCATAGCAATCGGCACATACCACTTCTGATATCTCTGTGTTGGATTGAAGATTTTTTTCAGATGGATCTGATAAGGCATGTTTTGAGCTATGAGAAGAAATGTTTGAGTCATTGACACTACAATTGGTTTGATAACTTGTTTTCAAATACCTTTTTCCTTTTTCAAGGGCAGCTTCGAGAGATTTAGAACTAAATCTTTGTGCCAATTTTTGTAATGTTTGAAAACCATTCATGCCTGAAGCAGTAACATCATCTAATCCAGCTAAGCTTTTTCGACTTGAAGGTTTTATTGCATGCAATACTTTCCACAAACTTGAATCAGATAATGGTATATAATTGTTTTCACTACAACTTTTTCGATAGAACATGATAGCGTGGCTATATTATATCGTCAGTATTGCATGCACTATCTTTTGTTCTTCACCGCTGTCGTATTTTAATTTGGTTATTCCATAAGCAACATCATGCAAAATACCGCCTGTAAATATAAAGTCTAAGAAATGTTCACACTTTGTTTGATCAAGACTAGATCGGACGAATACTTTCTTCTCTGAAAATGCCAACCCTTTATGAGATGCATGCCATTTTCCTGCTGTTTCTATACGATGTTTGGTACACTCAAATGTGTTCATTATAAACTTTTTGGTATACTTGATATGGTCTAATAATGAGAGGATAACTAACTTTCCCATGGAATCACTTTGTTTATATACTTTCTGAGCATGAATAATTTCAATTGGGAGAGGGCTATTTATTTCATCAACATTTTTACTGTTAAGAAAATCTATAAGTATTTCCTCTTGTCCAGGAGCAACAGCTTCCGCAAATTTTTTCTTTAATAAATTTTCTAGGCGAACATACTTGCGTTTTAACTTATCTTTAGTAGTATCTTCCAGATATTCGAACTTCCTTTTTAATCTAAATTTTATTGGACTTGCATTAAGAACCTTAGTTACACTCTCACGGCTTCTTAGAGATTCGTCCAAAATCTTCTGTGAAACATTAATTTCACCAGGATCAAATTCTTCATCTGGAGTAGCAGGTGTCATATATGTTTGTTCTTGTTGTGTTTGTGTTTCTGTACATAAATTGGTATTTTCGTTGACTCTAGATAAAGCAGTTTCTTGCTTTAAATGGGTAAAACACAGCATTGCACTAACTGAAAATACTTCATTGTATCGCTTTGACATTGATATGACGACATGTATTGGTGATGCCCATAAAGCGGGAGATTTTTTTCCTTTTATATTTAGATGGTGAGGATGAAAGCATGTTTTTGGAGGACTCCATGCAATACCAAACGTGTACCAGTGAAAAGCACATATTTGTTCATCCTTTTCAAGATTTCTTTTAAGTCTATTTGCAATAAGTCCATTTTCTTCCCAAATATTATTATCGTTTAATCGCATGACCTAAAAACAATTTTTTAAACAATTATTAAGTGTGTCATTTAAAGCATTGTTTATAATCTGAGTCTTCACGAAAAATGTTTACAAGTTTGAAATACATTGTTGTTATTATTAAAATACATTATTGCAAGAGTGTGATTAATTTAGTGATTATTTATTAAAAGAGTGAGGAATTAATTAAAAGAGCTATTTTTTTTTGTTTAAAGAACTTTGTCTCAAAATCTTATTGCAGAGAAGTTATAAAGTATGTAATTATAAAAATTATATTACAGTCTGCATAAATTTAAAATACATAATTACCTTTAAGTTGATGAGGTGTTTCTTAACATCAACATCTCCCAGCTGATGAATGTAGAACATTTTGTTTATAATTTTATGTTTTTTGAATGATCCACAATTTCCTTTTGAAAAGCAACAACAGTTTTCATAAAAATATTTGTTTTGTTCCATGATAAAATATCTACTCTATTTATGCAAATTTTAAAGATCGTTAAAATAAAGTTAAGACATTTTTATGGTAAAGTAAACAACCGCCCACTAACTTGTTTCTCCACAATCGTGATATCAGCGATTCTTCTTCCATTCGATCACCACAAGTTATTTGGTTATGACGTAAATTTAAATAATTCACTTCTGATCATGTATTGTTTTTTATTATTATTTATTTCAATTGTTATGATTTCTATATCATAGTCAGAAACGCTTAAATTTTTTCTTAACATTATGTGCAATGTTTTGTGTAATGCTAATTGCTAATTTTGGATGATAGAAATTTTATTGTGAGCGAAAACCTCATCTGTGTGTCCAAAAAAATATCTCTTTGTACTTAATCATTTTTAACAATTTGTACCTTTATTTTTAACTTAATATCTAAAGATCACATGAGTTTTTTTTTAAACTATGTTAGGGTCATCTTATATTGACCATTTAACATGATTATATTTTTACAAAACTTAGCGCTGCTGCCGTAATAGCTCATTTTGTAAGTATACTATAACATTTTTTTCCAATTTCAAGCCTTAATATATTAATAGGCCTTAGGTATCACATTTAGGTATCTTAGGTATCTTAGGTATTTAACAGGTATATAACACTTAGGTATATAACACTTAGGTATCACATAACTTTCTTTGCATTTTTAGACTCAATACCTTTGATAATTTCAAATCCTAAAAGAAAAATTGTGTGCAACACTTCGCCACTAGTATTAACTCCGATTAAAAATTGACAAAACTGATTGATTTTGTACTTTTGAACTATGATAATTAGTCAACCGCACAGTGTCACGCAACTTTTTTATATTTTTTGGAGAGAGCTTTTGGGTTACATCTGATATTAACTACAAAAGCTATGTGCAACTTTTTGCCTTGCCAAAAAAATTTGGTTCAAAGGTGGCAAAAACTAAATTTCTAAAAATTTTTAAAAAAATCTTAAAAGTTTAAGCCCAGATTCCGAGTGAACGAAACATTTTTGAAAATTTTTTTTTCCCTAACAGGTTTTCTCTATATTCTGATCAATAAAAAATTCAAGCAATTTGGAGGAGGTCACTTCCATTGACTGCCTGATTCTTACAAAAAATGGCTCTTAAAGATAGGCGGACTATTGGCTTACTGACCAAATGTACAATCCAGATGATTATTGGAAGCTATATAGCTGATTGTATGATCATGAATAAGCATTAAACTTGGTGAAAAAGTGTTAGAATTAGGAAGCATCAAGGCTAGAAATTACCTGAACAAATCAGTGTGTAGAATGAGCAATCAAGTGTCTTCAAAATCTTTTTCACATAAAGAGATAAAAAGTGAGAGAACCTCCAGTATGACATCCAGCTTAGACTTATTTTGTCTAACAAAGCATAAGAATTTTATATTACGCCTAAATTAAGCTGAATACTGCACAATATTTTTTGACATATACAGTAGCTTTTCTACTTGTAGAATTGTTATTTAAGTTTGCAATTTTATATTTATTTGTAATTAAGAGTGTTAGGATGTAACAATAAACTATTATATGCCTAAAAACTATAAAATAACATTCTATTTAAAAATAATTAGAATTAAAAAATAACTTTGTTATAATATAAAAATATGTTCTAATAAATTGCGTTAAATTTGTTATAATATAAAAACAAAATTTAATATAATAACAAAATTAAGATAAATAATATAATAACAAAATGAAATTATAATAAAAATAATATAATAATAATTATAAATAAAAATAATATAATAATTATATATATAAATATATTTATATAATATATATAATAAATAGTATATAATATATAATAATACATAATATATATAATAAATAATATAATAATTATAATAAAAATAATATAATAACAAAATTTGTTATAATAAAAAAATAAAATTGTTTTTAAATTTGTGGTTGATCTTTTTCATCAAGAAAATCTAATTGTTTTTCCCATCATTTTTGTACAAATGTTAATCAAATTATGAATAAGTAACATGAGGTCACAAAAAAGTCATAGTCCTATTGCACATACTATATATAACAGTGGTTGTACATATTATAAATATTTTTACATTTTAATAACTGCTTATAATTAAGTTACCATCATGACTTGAATAATTTTTTAATATCATAGAAGTTTGCAACAGATAAAGCTTATTGTATTCAACACTTAATTGAAAATGGGTGAGTTTTTACTAAATATTCAATATTAAAAACTTTTATTTTTTTTCAGTATATTTGTTAATAAAAGTATTTAAAATTCAATGATATAGTTTTATTATTTTGTTTTATTAAATTCAATTGTTTTCATATTTATTAAACTTTATTTTTAGTTGTATATTATTTTTAGTATAATTTAGTTGTGATTGTTATTTTTATAATTGTTACCATTTCACAATTTAGTTGTGAAATGTTAACAATTACTAAAAACAATTACTTTTTAGTAACTGTTATCATTTTTTTATGATGAAAATTTTCTATATACAGGATAAGTTATTGGTCAAGAGATAACTGTATATCTTACTACATTGAAAATGAAATTATTTGTAATTGTACAGTTTTGGCACTACAAACTATAATTTATAATTTTACTCTTGAAAAGGTAAGTTTGTGTTTGAGTTAAAAAACAATAATTATTTCAAATTTTACATGGAATTATATTTCAATTATATATAAAACACATTTTTTACAGAGTGATTCACTCAAGAGTGTATCTTACTATGAAATTTTATCATATGTTAGTTTTGGCTTGAATTGTTTATGTCTTCTAACTACGCTATTAGTATTTGTTAAATTCAGGTAAATGACACATTTATTTTTAATAATTAACTCTATCTACTTTGTGAAATTTTAAATTTTATCCCATAAAGTTTTAAAATCATTTTTAATAGTGATTTTGAAAATTTATTTACTTACTTATATTTAATATTTTATATTGAATTTATTGATTAATAACTGTGTACTAAAAGTAAAAAGCCTGTGTTCTAAAAAGTAAAAATAAAAGTATGGAGCTAAGCTAAGCTTAGACAAGTCTTGTACTTTTACAATACAGAGGCTTACAAACCCATGCTAGGCTTTGTAAGCCTCTTTATATATATGCTAGGCTTTAACAACCAATATTTGTTAAAAATATGTTTAATTTTGATTTGAAATCTTTTTGTGTCTTTGATTTCACAATGAATTGGTTTAAACTGTTATAAATAATAATTACTATTATAGTAACTAAATAATTACTATTATAACAACTTATTTAGTATATTGTTTATATAAACAGTAAACATAAATAGACTTAAAACAGAACCCCATGGCACACCACTTGTAACTGTTTAATTTGAAAGTTTAATTTGAAAGTTAAATTTGAAAGTTAAATTTGAAAGTTTAATTTGAAATTTGCCATTACATCTATTAGATTCCTCCTGTACATTTCTCTGGACTTTTTTAAATTAGGACTGATGAAAACATCCCATCATCTCATAATTTTTATGAAATGAAATTGTTGTTTCTTTGATGAAAACTAAGTTTTAAACTTATTAACAAGCAATTTGAATGTTATCGTTTACATTTAATAAAGTTATTTCTTCTTTAACTTGTAATTTTGTGTTTATTTATGCATAAATTGCATTTGGGCTTCTTTTGACATTTTAAGTTATTTAAACAATTCAATTTGGTTCCTAACTTCTATTTTTACTTTATCACACAAAACTTTTCCCTAATTTTTATTTTTAAGTTTATCCAAGGTCATCAAATAATCATTTCATCCAAGTTGCTTTGATTTTAACATTTCACAGAATAAAAGAAAAGTCCTTTGATCTATAATATTAAATTATTTGTTGAAAAGTTTAAAATGAGTGAAAAGCTGAAATCAGAAATAGAAAAAAATCATATTAATTATATATATATATTTTGCGACAAGTTGTTTATTAACTTTATCATGAGGATAAAAAAATGTACACATAATTTTTACATAATTGAGATGCAAACAAATTGTTAAATTTCTGGAATCGATGTCTAACTTAAACATCTCTAATGCTTTCTATTATACAAAATAGTTAATGGAGTATTTAAAAAGTGTTGTTTTTTTTTGTAGTTTTTTTTATTTGATAAAAATTCTTTAATTAAGCAAATGCTTGCATTACTTTGAAATTAAACTAAAATGTTATATTTGGTTCAATAATTAACTTTTTTATGTAATGTAGTTTAAATTGCAGCACACCTAAATGACTAAAGTATTAAACTTATAAGTTTGTTTGAAATATTTATATTAGTATTATGAGTAAAAGACATTTAAAAAATCAATATATTTTTTTAGGTTGGCAAAAATTGTTTTATTTTTTCAACTCAACTTAATTGCAGTGTTTCTACTAACAGAGGCTCTATTTATTTTTGGTCTTAGCAATGAGCTGCATTTTGTTGGAAATGTAATTTATTTATTTTAATTTTATTTGTATTCATATGTATTTTCATCATTTAATTTCATATGTATTCAATATAATATATATATATATATATATATATATATATATATATATATATATATATATATATATATATATATATATATATATATATATATATATATATATATATATATATATATATATATATATATATATATATATAATTAGTATCTAAGTACAAGCTACAATTTTTTTTTTATCATTTTTTTTTTTTTTTGTGTTTTCAATTTTTTCTGAATCTTTATTTCCTAATCATGAACTGCTGCATTGAGTACAGTACAAAGTGGAGGGTGAATTTAAACCTCAAAAAATTTTAAATTGTTTTACCAACTTTTAATTTTTTTTTTAGAAATGGTGCAAAGCTGAAACTGTGTTGTTCCATATTTTGTTGACATCACTTTTTTCATGGCTGCTTGCACAAAGTTGGTATACTTATGTGCATTTAGCTTATTGCACTAAAAAAAGCAGCAAGAATAGATTGATAACATCGGCACTTATTGGATATGGTTTTCCTTTTTTTGTTTCACTTTTTGGATTAGCTGTATTCTATGATAGCTATGGATTAAACACTAAATTGTACGTAAGATTAAGTACTCATGTGATTAAATAAATGTGTATGTAAGATTAAATATTTATGTGTACGTAAGAATAAATACTTATGTGTACATAAGATTAAATACTTATTTGTATGTAAGATTAAATACTAATGTTTAGGTAAAAAAAAATTATTCAATACAGCAATATTATAATCTGTATTTTGATTTTTTTTTTAATTATAAAAACTTTTTTTTTTATTATTAATTATTTTTACTTTAAATTATTTGTGGCGTAATTAAAAAATCTTTATCTTGTTGTATTAATTTATTATTATTATTGTATTATTTTTTATAGAAAAATGTTGATATAATAAAAAGTAGTAGTAAAAAAATATAATAAAGATAACAAAGATAATAATGTCAATTTTTTTTTTAATTTTAGTTGCTGGATTTCAAACACACTGCTTTTTTCACTCTTTATACCACCAATATCATTGTTAGTTATTGTAAGTAAAAAATATGATTATAAACAGTTGTTTTATGAGTGATTAATGATTGGTTGATAATTCCCTGCATAATTTAGTAATAATAATAAATGAAATTTTCCAGACCTTAATATAAGTATATATATATGTATATATATATATATATATATATATATATATATATATATATATATATATATATAGTATATAGGCTTGGTCGGGAAGTGGGTGCGATCGCACTCGATAACTGACCACGGAAATAATGTTTAGTTGCAAAAAACCAGCCAGATTTTTTAGTCGTTTTGAGAACATTTAAGTTTATGTATGTTTCCTTGTTTGTTCGCAAAATAATGAGTTCATTTTATCGTAAATTTTTAAATATTTTGTTTTACAGACTTTTTTTTTTTTTTTTTTATTATTCACCTCCTCAAGGCCGAGAAAGCCACTACAGACGAGGAGGCTACTTAATAGTGGTTATAACCCTCTCTCAACTCTATAACTCCGAAACACGAACCTTGACGAACAAGGCCACTCCACGGAGAAACAAGTTGAGCGCGGAAACATATATAACATATAACTTACATGGAAACATACATAAACTTGAATGTTCTCCAAAATCTTAGTGCGAAAAAATAAAAAAAGAATATTCACAAACACAAAAAACCCGCCAAATCTACGAACAACTAATACTATTGGTTCAAAAAGTACTAACTGAAATTTCTAGAGTATTCAAAAAATACTAATCGAATGTCCTGAGTATTCTGTTGAAATATTTTAAAATATTGTATTATTTGAATTTTGTTACGTTTTCGTGAGACTTCTAGCATAAATTATTTTAAGAATATACTATCAAACGAACTATTATTTTAACTCTTAGAGCCACATCTATAAAGCTATAAATGTTTTAAACTAACATTATTTGTTTACAATAATAAATGTTTTAAATTTATATTTTTTAACTTGTCAACGTTTTGTAAATATATTGTAGATTTTATTAGTATATTCTTATTTTTCATATATAAGGGATGTATTTTTTATGTATGTAATGTATTTTTATGTATGTAATGTAATTTTATGTATGTCATGTAATTTTATGTATGTAATGTATTTTTATGTATGTAATGTATTTTTATCTATGTAATTTTATGTATGTGTATTTTATTTGAAGGTATTCTTTTAAAACAATTTGTGCGATTGATTTTGTAAACAAAAATACTTTCAATAATAACTGCGTTTTCAATGAAATTATTAATAATTGTCAAAGTTAATACAAATAATTTTAACCACTAATCCATTTTCCTCAGTGTACCCGATAACTGATTCTTTCCCCCAAGAAAGAAAAGTTTTCAAGTTCTTAGAAATTGGTTTACTAACTTCAATTATTTTTGCTTCAGCCATTCTTACAAACTCGTTATACTTAAAGTTACTTTTTTCAGTTTTAAATACTAATTAAAATTATAAAGCCCACTCACTAAACATTATCAGCGTTATTGTGAAGCAGTTCTGCTTCCTCCTCACAAAGTAATGTAACGTTTTTAGTAAATTTCTATCTAGCTAATTGAATTTCTACAGTAGCTCAATGATTTAATTATTTCATTTCTTCATTTTACTGAGAATTGTTTCAAATGTGTTACACTTTTCAAATTAAGCAAAGCATAAAACAGTTATTGAAAAAACTTTTTTATTTATAAATAAATCATCTAGCGTTAATTTTATTGGTTGAATCTCGTTGGACTTTTTAGGGCCGGGGGCTGCATTATTTTGGCGGCCTTTTTTATATGCCACAGCGTAAAAATGACTAAAAAAAATATCGAATAGTCTTCTTGACTATTTCCCCTAACATTTTGAGTCCCGAGCCCTACTACCCGCACCCCACCTTTTCAATCCGCAACTGGAAATAAGACCTTCAGTGCTGTATACATTGATTGATCAGCGCCAAAAATAAAATAAAATAACATCTGTATCATTAAAGATGAATATGAAATCAACACAAAATTAGCTGTTGTTTCACGACGACACGGCAAACTAAGAACCGATTTCCGAACATATATTAGGAATGATATCTTTTTTTATTATAAAATAATCAGTGTATATTAATTATTATTGAGAATAATTAATTTGATTTATTTTTAATCTTTATACATTGTCATCGCTTTCATTTTAAGAGTATTATTTTGAATATATATTTCTTTTTCAATGTAATATAGTAAAATAGCGATGTCAATGATCTTCTACTTCTAACTATTATTTAAATTCTGCTCGACGTACTTTACAGACAAACCCTTACATCATCATGTAATAAATTGTGTCATCAAAAGAAGTTTTTTGAAAATAGATAAGGTTTTAAAAATAGTTATCACATTGTCATAAATTTCATATTTCACATTTATTGCGAGTTAAATTTTATAATTAATAATAATTTATTTTATACATAAATTGCATAGCGAAATAAAGTTATAATCACAAAGTTTCAGCAAAAACAACAACTAATGTTGTTTAATTATAGAGTAATATTATTAGCAAGCGATTGCACGCGTGACATTGATATATATATATATATATATATATATATATATATATATATATATATATATATATATATATATATATATATATATATATATATATATATATATATATACATATATATATATATGTATATATATATATATACGTATATATATATATACATACATATATATATATATATATATGTATATATATATATATATATATATATATATATATATATATATATATATATATACATATATATATATATATATATATATATATATATATATATACATATATATATATATATTATATATATATATATATATATATATATATATATATATATATATATATATATATATATATATATATGTATATATATATACATATATATATATATATATATATATATATATATATATATACATATATATATATATATATATATATATATATATATATATATATATATATATATATATATATATATATATATATATATATATATATATATATATACGTATATATATATATATATACGTATATATATATATATATATATATATATATATATATATATATATATATATATGTATGTATATATATATACGTATATATATATATATATATATATATATATATATATATATATATATATATATATATATATATATATATGTATATATATATATATATATATATATATATATATATATATATATATATGTATATATATATATATATATATATATATGTATATATATATATATATATATATATATATATGTATATATATATATATATATATATATATATACATGTATATATATATATGTATATATATATATATATATATATAAAATATATATATATATATATATATATATATATATATATATATATATATATATATATATATATATATATATATATATATATATATATATATATATATATATATATATATATATATATATATATATATATATATATGATGAATGATAATTTAATAAAGATAAAGAAGAGGATTTAGTGAGTTGCAATTCATCAATATGTGATAGTTGTTTAAAGTAAATAAATGAGTTTTTTTGGAGTGAAGCCACTGCAAGTTCTATTAACTATTTAAAAGGTAAATAGGATGCATCTGGGGCAACCAAACATGGTAGAGAATGTAATGGTATGTTTAATTGGTCATCATCTGAAAACTCTAGCAATAAATCAGAGTATTTTATTTATTTTCTGATTTATTTGCATTTATAGATAAGAAATACAAAAAGATGATACAGGTAATATCAAAATTACTCTTATGGAACACTGACAAAAAAAATAAATAACAACAACAACAACTGGTTAAAATAGTGTACAATGGTGATAATTATTCTACTTTTTTAAATTTGATTTGAACAAAGACAAAGTGGACAAGTAAACAACATAATCAGGTAGAGAATTCTATATCTTGATAATTCTTTCACAGGATAAAAATCTTCATGTATCCTTTTTTCATTTAATATGTGAATAAAATTTTTGGGCATGATATCTTGTAGTAAGAAGAAGAATGTAAAAAAACTCAGAAAAAGATTGATCAACAAGGTGGTATATAATTTTATAGGTCATTACAAGATCAAGTTTTATTCTATGGCATTCTAGATTGAAGATATTGAGTCTTGAAGAATAATCTTTATAAGGATTATGACATCTTATACTGACACTTTTAGTAAATGATTTCTGAAGCTTTTTTAACCAACGTATATTTAAAAGATGGGGATTCCACACAGAGGTACAAGATTCAATGACAGATCGAAAACATAAACTTTATAGGCTTTGATCAGAAGCTTGAAGTCATTACTGATGAAAAATTTTAAAAGTAAATAGAAACGAGAATGTGCCTTGCTTGCAATGAAAGAACAGTGATTAGAATCATATCCAAAGATTCAACTACACCAATATCTTAAATTGAATTAATAGATTCAATAGGTGTACCAATTTTCATTAAGTATGAATTTAATGGTAAAGAACTGTTTCCATAGCATAGATAAAAACATTTTTTGGTTGCTATATTAAACTTTTAACCATTCTGAAAAAAATTTTAAAGTATTGATGAGGTTTATGTTGTTCTATCATTGATTGCTTGATATAATTTGCTGTCATCAGCAATCATCTTAATGCTGCAATCACCATCAACATATGAAGTACCGTTGTTTATAAAACTAAAAATAAGATAGGTCCCAAAGCAGTCCCTTGAGTTATTCCATTCTTTACAAGAATTTATTTGAACACAAGTTACCAAAGCAGACACATTGAGAATGATTTGTTAAAAAATTGGTAATTCAGTTTAACAATTTATAGTGGATACCATAACATTGCAGTTTGAACAGTAACTTAGAGTAAGTCACAGAATCAAAGGTTTCCTTAAAGTCTATATATACAATATCAACTATCTTTTTGTTATTAGCAGCAATCGTTCACTCATTTGAAGTTGCTAACATCTGTGTACATGTGGAACCTTAAAAATGCAAATTAATGAACGGTAATAAGGTTATTGATTAGTAAATAATTTGTAATGCATTCTGCAATGATTGACTCCATAACTTTACAAACAAACAAGTCATAAAAGTAGGTCTGTAAATTTGTGGTTAATGATGGGTCTTCTTTCTTATAGGTGGGGCACACTATAGCAGTTTTCAAGATTAAAGGTATGGCATTTTTTGACATTGACAATTCAAACAGTATGAAAAAAGAAATAGCAATGGCATTTGCGATTGGTTTTAGAAGTATTGCTGGGCATCTACTAGGTGATTTGGAGGACTTTGATGGAAGATTTTATAGATGAACATAAATTTGTATGATGAAAATCACTTAAAATTAACTATGCCTCAACATACCAGGAAATAAAACATGCTCATATACTTCTCAACCATATCAATAACATTAAAATTTTTACAAACAATTGGAGACCATTGTTTAAAAACATTATCCAAAAATGGAATTATATAATATTTGCTAATTTTATACATAAATTGTTATGTAATCATTTATGGCTTCTTTTTAATGTCTTTTTTGACATTTAATGTAATATTTGTAATGGTTTTTTGTATTATATTTTATGTCTGGTAATGTATGGGCAAAAACAGGTTGAAACATTATGAAGAAAAAATTTAGTTTGTATGCAGCTGTTGTTTCATGCTTTATATTTTAAAATGTTTATTAGACATGTTTTGAACTTCATCATCAGTAAAATTAACAAAAATCATCAAAAAAACACTTTTATATAGGTGCTTTTATAAAAATGTATCATAAATTCTATTACAAAGGGGAGTCTATTTCACACTCACAATTTCACATTTCGCAAGAATTCTCTCCCTTTCATTTGTTATAGTCTGTAGTATCTTTATATATGTTATGTATATAATATCTATAAAGCTTCAAAAGTGTTTTATTTGTGTTTAAAAAAAAATACGTTGTGTTTTATTATGTATTAAAAAAAAAATAATAATAAAATGGTTCAGTGGTAGGATTCAAACCGGGACGCTTTGCTTCATAAACTCTGTGAGCTCACCATTTGGCCGGACAGGCGTGTTGTCAGGCAAAGATTTTAAAACTATTCAACTATTTGTTTTTTAGATCAACATTGTATTTCTTGGCATGATTGCAGGAGTTTACTTTTCACATCGATTACCTGCATTTTTTTGCCAAGATAAGTCAATTACTACTATTGTTGATGATGATGAAACATATCATATAAGGTAAATAAAAGTTGTAATTTAAAAATAAGTAAAAATGAAAAAGTATGTTATTAGTTTTAAAAATATGCATACATTTTATAAGTTTACTTTATTTGTTTAGCTTTAAATGTTTCAATAGCATTTTTAAAATAAAAAGGCTTTTGTAATAAAATGTAATAAAATGTAATAAAATGTAATAAAATGTAATAAAATGTAATAAAATGTAATAAAGTGTAATAAAATGTAATAAAGTGTAATAAAAGATTAATTTTGAATAAAATTTTAAGAAAATTGTTTATTTCCTTAAATCTAATTACAAAAACAAAATTATTTAAAATAATCTTTATTAAATTCCTTTTTTATGAATATTAGTTATTTATTAGAAAATAATCAAAAACAAACGAATCAAATGAAATTTTTTTAATAAAATTAAACAATTTTTAGCCATAGTTTTTTTTTTAGAGATAATATTTACGGATCAGTTATTCTTCTACCTGTTGTTATTATTACATGGATGTTAGCGTGCTTAAAAATGACACAACAGAGTTTATACATTAAATATGCTTTTCTATTCTTTAATACATTACAGGTAAGGAAATCGACTTTTAAATTCAACTTTTGTATTTTTTGACAATATATCAAGTATACTTTATATATTGTCAAATAGCATAGATAAATTATTTATTATATTTGACATAGTTATAAATGTATTATTTATATATTGTATAATATATAAATATAAATACTCTCTTATAATGTAAGAGAGTATTTATATTTAAAAAATATTATTATCAAAATGTGATAATAAAAAATGTTGTAATAAAAATATTTTTGGAATGTATATTGTTCACATAGTTACATTACATTAATTGTGGAATGTATATTGTTCAAATAGCTACATTGCATTATTTGTGGAATGATAGTGTCAAAATGACCATACTTGTGGAGCTAATAATGTTGAAATAAAGTTGTGGAGCTTATGTTGTTGAAATAACATTTGTGGACTGATAATATTGCAATGAAATATTAGCAAAATTTATTATGTTAGAATATTTTAATTTTTTACTGCAAAATAAAATAATCCAACATTGTCAAAATTAGGAAAAATTCGAATTCAATGTGTGTTTTTTAATTTATGTAATTACATTGCTTAAATTATGTTTTTACTTAATAACATTATTTGTGATGTAGAATTAATCTTATTAATATGTGATACTTTGTTTAAGCTTAATTGATTGACCAGGATCAACAATATTAAAAATATTGTGTTTTTTCTAACTTTTTTTAAGAGAGAAACAAGTTTGTTTCTATGTTCTTTTTTTTTGTTAAGAATTTTTGAAAAGGTTTTTAAATCTTTTTTTGGTAAAGATTCTTTCTAGTTCTCCTTTGTTAGAAAAAATATTTAAAAAAAGAAAAAACATGAAGAATGTGGCTTGACTTAAAACATTATGTATCGCAAATAATGCATACATTTAATCAAGTTTATTGCAAAAGATGCATTTTTTTGGCCGAAAGACCATTACAATGCTTTAAGTTGTTGTAAGGCATACAATTGAAGGTGATTTCAAATTTAATAGAAAGTTTTATTTTAATCTAAATAAGCTAACATACAATAATGCAGAGTCATATGCGGCAACAGTTTTGCAAACTTGTAAAAATTGTTTTCAGAGTTTCAAAGTAGCAAAATAAAGAAAAAATAATTTTGAATTATAATATTTTAAACTTAGTCAAGTCTATAAATGTTACAAAACAATATTGTTTTGTAACATTTATAGACTTTTGAAAAAAGAAAACAAATTTGTTTTCTTTTTTCAAAAATATTTACAAACCATTCAAACTTTTAATTTTTAATCTTTTTTTTTTTTTTTTTTTTTTTGATCTTTTCTTCATTTGCATATAATTCTATTTTTTTTTTATTTGTTTTGAATGGCTTTATTTGTTATAGTGAAAAAATGACGAGTTTATTTTTTTTTATACAGGGCATAGTATACCTGATTTCTTACTGCATTTTTAACAGAGAGGTATGTTTGCTTTATAAACAGATTTTTTTCTTTTCCCATTAAACAAGCTAGTAATGTTGATGCAAAATCTTTTTTCAATAGATAATGAAAAGCGATAAGTTATGGGGTTATAGTACTGACTATGTGGACTCACCACCCACTTCAGCTATTAGGCCGATGAGAGCACATAAGCTTACTAGTCACAACAACCATGGTTTAGAACTTTCTCCAAGGCTTACAAAAGTATGAGTTTATTTTACAATTTTAATTTTATTTTTGTTCTGTTTAATATTTAATATCCCTCTTCCCCTCCCCATCCCCGATGTTTCTCAATTTGGCAACTATCAAAACAATGCAATATGTGTATACGATAAGCTTTCGACCATCTATTCAATTCAAATCTTTTGTTTTCAATTTTTTATAAAGTTTAAATAGTTAATTTTGTTTTGAGCCTTCTACTTCCAACTTTTTTTTTCTAATGGTTTTTGACAACTTCTAAAGCTTTATTCTTTTTCTATTTATTTTCTATATATCTATCTTTATTATTTTGAATACATTTTAATTGATATATTTAAATTTATATATTTTTATATATCAATTTAATTATATCAATTAAAATATATAATCGTAATGATGTTTGCACAGGCAATAGCGTACGATGGAAAGAATATTATTCCTCAGGATAAAGGATGCATACCAAATGAAGTATACGAAGCTCAGGTATAAATTTTTTTATTTTACAAATATAGGGGATGCAAAATATAATGAAAATTATCTTTAAATAATAAAAATGGATAAAAAGCAAACTTTACTTGTCTCCATCTCTATATAAGCTCACTATACAATAAGATATACACAAGGCAATTTTAAAATAAACTCAATATACAGCATAATAAAAAGCAACCTTAATATATAGTGTTTTATTGATAGGTTTATTGATTTTAGTTTTAATTTATTAAATATCTTAATTCAAAAAGTTCAAAAAATAATATATTGCTTATAATATCTATAAACATAATTTACAATATCTATAAACGTATAATGAAAGAATACGTTTTATATCATTTAAATTTTTTTATTATCTTGCTCGTTCAGCCAACACTCGTTTTTTATTCTTGCTTGTTATGCCAACACTCATTTTTTATTCTTGCTTGTTATGCCAACACTTTTTTGTTATTCTTGCTTGGTCAGCCAACACTCATTTTTTATTCTTGCTTGTACTACCAACACTCATTTTTTATTCTTACTGTAGTTGATGAGTTTTATAATACTATACTATGATACAAAATACAACAGAAATAAACACTAAGAATATTTTAACAGAATAAGCATGTCATTCAAAATCACAGCAAAACTTGAAAACATGTTTAAAAAACGAGTACAGTTGCTCTCAACGATGCGAAAGTGCGAAATATGAACGTAAAATGGAGGTATCTCTGGAGTTACCTCGTTTTTGCACCAAAATAAAGTAGTTGATACGTATTGTTCTGTTCAATCCTGCTTTAAATGATATAAAAATTGCTCAGATTCGTTTTTTTACCTATTGGTACTATTATTTACTACATATTGATTTTCTTTTAATTACTATCTTTTTACACAAGTCGAGCTAAAGTTTTTGCACAGCTTTTTGATTCTTATTGATCAGTGTTTAGTAAAAACAATTATTTGAACCGAACATTTAAACAGACGAAAACAAAAATAAGTAAAAAGGAGTAAAACTATTCAAAATTACATGAAATTTTGTTAAAAAAAATTTCAAAATAATTTATGAATTATATTAATTATGATTACTTTAATTTTTGATTCAAAACTTTTGTTTTTTGTTCTTTTATTATATTATTTTGTTATGAATTTTTTTATTTTTTTGTCCATTCAATTAAATTATATTGTGAATTATATATTTTAAAAATCGAATGTTTTTTATTTGCTGGAATTTGTTTTAGAAACAATGGTGTACCACAGAAGCTGATTGATACACGTAGAGTAATCATGTATATAAATTTTATTGGCGAAATAATACTGCGAATTTTGGAAGTTTACATTATGATTTAGAAACTTTTTTACGTTTTATTATCTGTTTTTGAATTTTATCTTTGGTGTAACTAATTTAGCAGAATTTAAGTTAATGAACATTTTAACTTACAATTGTAGTACTGAACTTTAAAGTTAAACTCACTTCCTAATGTTTTTTCTTTGAAATAATGTATAAATAGAAAAAAAAAGCGTTGCACCATTATATTTGTAAATGAGTTGAGATGATACATATGTGTGATTGAAGATTCAATTGAGTAGTGCTTAAAACGATCAAGTCATTTTACAGTGGACGGAAACACGCCAAAAATTAGGAAAATTTTTTAAAGAGAATATAAAATAAATCTTTTTATAGACATGCAGTTAAACTCCTGTAATTCAAACTTATTTCTTATTTCATATACAAATATATGTAATTCAAACTTATATTCTTATTTCAATATACAAAGAATATATGTTTCATTTTTTTTTGACATAGAAATTAATATAAATAACTCCAAAGAATCGCAAGATATCTCTAAGTTTTTAAGACATTGAAGATTCAGAAAATCCAGTTTTTAAGTTGTTTATCACAGTAACTAACAAATATATAACAGTGATTATATAAAAACTAGGCCAACTTCTAACAAAGCTCATGAAAATCAATATCAGATCAAACTGATCAAACGACAGTAATTTTGATGATAACCTTTTCTAATACTTGAAGTTTTCTAAGAGATCAATAAGAAGGCAAATTATCTCCATCTTTATAGAGAAACAAAGAGACAAGGTTAGAAATTGACTTTTTTGGAGCAAATTTGTGGCATCACTCTTGTTTTCCCTGCTTATTTTTGGATTGGTTAATTTTACTCGTTCCAGTGTTTAACCCAGCATGTTGTCTTAGAATAGAATAGAACTTTAACCCGTGGAAATTAAAGAAAATTTTCAGATTGCATTAAAATTCATCTAAATGTACTTTGATTCAATCTTGCCCAAATTAAACAAAATTCCCCGTATTATCTCAAATGAAAAGAAGCCACGAATCACTTAAAAATTAAAAATATTCACTTAAAAAAGATCATCAATTAGAAAAATAAATCAGAGTGATGGAAATTAATTAAACAATGAATTGTTGACGTGATAATACATCTAGATTCAAGAAATTTAACTTCTAGGGATGAAAATGCTATTTCTAAATTATAAACTATATTTTGCATTTGCTTTTTGTAATTTAAAAATGAAAATTATAAATTTTAATTGTTTGTAAATTATAATTGGACTACTAATTTTACTTTTCGTTGGTTTTTTTGAAAATAAAATTCAATCAAAAGTTGTACAAAAATGGTAATGGAAACCTCTTTGGAGCGCTTAAATAAATTGCTCGCAAACAAGAAAACACTACAAAATTATTTGCATCTAACTGCTAAACATTAAGAAAAAGAAAAGTTCTAGTAAGCTCATTATCATTCGATTATCATTACTTATCTCGGAAATCACAGAACGAATTTATTGAATAGTGCGACAAATTGGTCGTTTGGAAGATTATTCGAGAAATTCAGAAATGAATATACTAGGATGGTAAATTTCATGAAAAATTTATTTTTATATTACGATAAAATTTTACAATTAAATATTAAAATGAAATTTTTACGTTTTTTGTATTGCCACAATAGTTAGCAATGGAAAAAAGAAGCTGATAAAGTAAAAATGATATTGAATGTGTTGAAAGAAATTGATGTGTTGAAAAAAATTGTTGCGGTCAAAGCTACAATATCACGCAATTATAGCAGATCTCTACACTGGGATTCAAATTTTGGTTAGACAGAGTAATCCACAAGCAATTTATATATTTTGTTCTTCCTGGATCCTAGGAAGTTCTGTTGCAGAAATATTCGAAAGCTGTACCATTTGTTCAGCTACAGCCCAGCTTGTTGAAAAATCTTTCATTAGGAGACAAGGCTATCATTACATAAATTTTTTTATATGCAATAAAACTCAAGGATTGACGTAAAAAAGTCAAGATTGATCATGAAAGCATTACATCGTCTAAACAGTTTTTTAGGATGAAAGTAAAAATAAAATGCATTATCTAATTAAGAGGATGAATTGCTTTTTTTGGATGGATGAATTGCTTTTTTTTACAACTTTTTGGTTTGTTGGCAGTTAACGACGTGAGTCTTATTTTCTTTTTCAATCCACTCAACTCATTTTCGATGCTTAAATGAAACTTCTAAATAGCTTTATGACGGATCTTGATAAAATCCGTTCGTCATATAATTTTTTAGAAAAAAATGCAAAAAAATGAAAATAAAACTCCTTACAAGTTGTTTTTCTTTGGTCTTAACAGAAATCTTTAACAGACGTAGAACTTCGTTTAAAGTTGAAAACCTTGCTATACTCTACTCAGCAGACTTATACAAAATAAATTTTAAAAGGAAATTCGTCAACTTATTTTTCCTTAGAACAAACATTCTTGCCAGAAAAAGCCTATTGAACTTCTAAATGAAACTATGGATAGGGAAAGCGTTTAATATTTTCCCAAGTGTGTTTTTACTTTGAATCTTTATAACTTGTTTATTGTTTGTTTCAACCCGTAAAGATAAAAGATCTTTCAGCAAGAACAATTTTTGTTCCATAATTGGTCATAAGCAATTATGCTACTTGATGAACCTTTCCATTGAATCAGATTCAGCGAATAGCGTGTATTATTAAAAAGGTATTTCAAATTTTGTCTCTAAGAAGACTCGGAAAATGGCGTCATAACAGTAATGATATTATGGTTTTAAATTTTCTAAAAAATGAACAAAAAATAAGTCTACTAGCTTGTATGCTATTTATTATTTTAAGGCTTGGAGTATGATAGGGCATTCCATAAACTTTTGCACCGGGTATTTTTTTTTCAGGCTTGTGGACTTTTATGACTACAAACGAAATGGTATTAGCATAATTTGGATAAATATCTATATTCTTTTACCGCAAAACAAGCATAACCCTGACTGACAGGGTTACTGTCCCAGGCGGCGCCTGGACAGTAACCCTGTCAGTCAGATGAGTCATATATTTACCATGAACTTTAAAAATACTTCGTAAATCTTGGCCCCAGTCTAGCTTCAAAAGTAGTGTAGCCAAAAAGAAGTTTGATTATTAAAGAAAAAATTCTATCATGTATGTCAATTGAAAAAAATATCCTATAAATAATTAAGCATCGAATTAATAATTACTTGAAGTTAAACAAACTTTTATATAAAAATCAATTTGGTTTTCAAAAAAGTTGTTCAACAGAGTATGCTATCATTGAACTTACAAATAAAATATTTCAATTTTTTGATAAAGGAGAGCATGTGTTGGGAGTATTTGTAGACCTTTCAAAGGCATTTGATACAGTTGACCATGGCATCTTACTATCAAAATTAAAACATAATATTATCAAAAGATTAATCTATAGATGGGTAAAAAATTATTTGAGTACCAGAAAAAAGTTTGTAATAAACAAAGTCTCTAAATAATAATGTAATAAACAAAGCATTTGAGTACCAAAAAAAAGTTTGTAACAAACAAACACTCTTAATATTGAGTGTGGAGTCCTTCAAGGCTCAATATTAGGACCGTTATTGTTTTTAATTTACATCAATGATATGTATAAAGCATCATCAATACAATCTTCAATAATGTTGAAGCTTTGTTTTATAATCATAGTAATTTAAAATTGATGTTCAGAACAATGAACTGAAAAACTTAAATTTCAGGTTCAGAGCAAATAAACTCTCTTTAAACTGTGAAAAAACTAGCTACATTTCATAAAACAGGTCAATGAATGTCTTTACCGTTAATATCCACAGTTGCTCATTAACAACATAACAGTAAAACGGGAAAAATATGCAAACTTTCATTGTATTCAAAAAGTTGAAAAATTATCATAGAGAAATCATATTGGGCAAATTGAATCGAAAATATCATCTGCAATAGGTAGTAATCTATATAAATCTTGCCCATTTCTTAATTTCTGTTCAAAAAAAAAACTTTACATTAGTCTAATTTATAGTAATCTCACATATTTATAGTCATCTCACATATCATCACAATTATTATGTGTATTAGCCTACACTATAGTGTAGGCTAATACACACAGACCAAACTTAATCAAACTACAAGGGTTGCAAAACCATGCTTGTAGAGCAATTCATTCTCTAAGTAGAATGGACAGTTCATCTAATGACAAATATGAATGTCTTTAACCTGAAAAAGCCTAATTAATATCAGATTCTTATTTCTATGTTTAAATATAAAAAAATTAATTTCAGAAATACCAAAATGCATTACAATACAAAAATGCATCAGTAAGTTTGCGAAAAACAAAATTTGCATATTTTTTAAGCGGTACAACGACAAAAAATTGAACTATTGCATATTTGCTTTATTAATAAAAAGTTTATAAAAGTTTCTAAAAACAACAAATTATTTATGTAATTCACTATATTACTACCATTTTGTAATGCTGTGATAATTTTATTTTTAATCTAAAATTTTTTATTTTATTTAGAAAAGCAATATTAGTAATAAATTCAAAGAAATTGTTATTTTTATCACTTAACTTTGATTATCAATATAATGTGTGTAATGTAAACAACGATCATAAGAAATTATATAAGAAAGATCAATCATCCAAAACGGGATGAAATGTAGTTTTAGCAATGAAAAAAAAGAAACTAAGAATTAGAAAAGCTGCTGATACATATGGCATATTTAAATTTGCTCTACATTGGCATATTGCTAATCAGCCAGCTCATTAAAAATGATGCCAAATAGTTTGAGGATACTTTTTGTGTGATTTATATGAACCATAACATTTTTTGTGTGATTTATGTGAACCATAACACTTTTTGTGTGATTTATGTGAACCATAACATTTTTTGTGTGATTTATGTGAACCATAACATTTTTTGTGTGATTTATGTGAACCATAACATTTTTTGTGTGATTTATGTGAACCATAACACTTTTTGTGTGATTTATGTGAACCATAACATTTTTTGTGTGATTTATGTGAACCATAACATTTTTTGTGTGATTTATGTGAACCATAACACTTTTTGTGTGATTTATGTGAACCATAACATTTTTTGTGTGATTTA